ACCCTGCAACTGATGGGGCTGTGATGGGGCCCAGGCAGAGGGAGAACCCCCTGGCTGTCACATTAAGAAGGCTAAGGGACTTGGGCCCTGCAGTGGGCACGATCAGCCCTGGAGTCGTGCGTGGAATACCGTGGCTGTCCCTGGCAAGGAGCCGTATGCATGCGGCTCATCAGCGACGCCGGGAGGCATTCGAACCCGGGATGATTGAACAGTTCCTAGGGACAACTTGTCAGCAGCTGCCCCTCCACTCCCCTCTTACTCAAAGCTCCCCCCCCCCAATCGGCCTAAATAGCCCAGTCCCTGGCTTCCGGGAGCAGCACTGTTAACCCCTCCTCTTCCACAGCGCATGTGGGTCTAGCGAGTGGTGCAGCCAGAGGGTGGGAGGGCACCCAGGGTCACGCTGCCCCCCTCTGAATGGTCATAGCACTCCTCCTAGTTCTTGTGCAGGTATGATAACAAGCGTATTACTGTGTTTCCCCAAAAATAAGACCTACCCATAAAATAAGCCCTAGCAGGATTTCTAAGCATTTGCACAATATAAGCCCTACCCCCAAAATAAGACCTAGTGATGGCCACGGCTATGCAGCATGTCTGCACAACCAATGCATTTCGTTGCAGAGTGGTAAAGAAGACGAGCAACCCTTCTCATCTGCCCCATCCTGACAGCTACTATCCCAGAGGTGACCGGAAAGGCGAGGGCAGCCCCACCAACAACATCAGCTCCCCCTGCCAGGTCCCGGCCACCCTGTGCGTGCTGCAAGCTGAGGCTTTGAGGGGAAAATAACACATCCCCTGAAAATAAGCCCCAGGGTGTCTTTTTGAGGAAAAATGGATATAAGACCCTATCTTATTTTCAGGGAAACACAGTACCCATGCAAGAACTGGTGTTCAAGAATAGGTCCTCATTCACTGAATGAAAGAATGACCAGAAGAATAAACCCTACATGAACTACAAAGAACCCTACATGAACCCTACAATAAACCCTATTGATGAAATATTTATTGAGCGTCTCACCGTGCTGGGCCCTGTCCTAGATGCTGGGTTAGCAAAAGAGGCCAAGTCCCTGTTGTTACGAGGTTTACCTTCTGGTGTGGGGAGACATACCATGCAAATAAACAAATATGGAACACACTCAGCTCTCCATACCCACAGATTCCACATCATGGATTCCGCATCTCAGATTCAACCAACCACAGATTGAAAATATTCAGCGGGAAAAATTTAAAAATAACAATACAACAATAAAAGATAATACAAATTTTCAAATACAGTATAACATTTGTATAGTATTTACATTGTAATAGGTATTATAAGTATTCTAGAGATGATTTAGAGTATGCAGGAGGATGTGTGTAAGTTATATGCAAATACAATACCATTTTATATAGGGACTTGAGCATGCATGGATTTTGGTATCCATGGGGTCCTGGAGCCAATCCCCCATGGGTACAGAGGGACAGACTGCATAATCTTGAGTAGTGGTGAATGCTATGAAGAAAGTAAAGCAAGTCAAGGAGATTGAGACTGACAGATTGGGAGCAATTCCTAAATTGGGTGCTTGGGAAGGTTCCCTAAGGACATGACACTTGAGCAGAGATCTGAAGATCATGAGGGAAAGAGCTATGTCTTCATGCTGGGGACAGTATGTGCAAAGGCCCTGAGGTAGGAATGTTCTTGATGAGTTTGAGAAACAGTAAAATGACCAGATGTAGTAGATCAAGGTAGGTCCCAGCATCACCTAAGAGCAGTCGTTCTCAACATGAACATACATCAGAATCACCAGGAGGGCTCATGAAAACAGACTGTGGGCCTCAACCCTCGTGTTCAGTTGGTCTGGGGTGGGGCCTGGGAATTTTATTTCCCCCAGGTAATGTTGATGCGCTGGTCCTGGGGTTGCAGTGTAGGGCATTTGTTCTTCCTGTGCCTGGTCCTCTCCTACTCATGCTTACCACACGCAGTCACAGAGCACCGTTGCCTGGTCATCTGTGTCTCCCCTGGGCTGGATGGTTCTGTACACCTCTATATCCTGGTGCTTAGCAAGCACTCAATAAATATTTGTTGAATTAATTCCTCAAAGTAGGGTCCTACGCCGGGCCTTGCCTCACTTTCTTTTGCCATCCGGATGTGTGTTTGATTTGAAGCACCCCACAAATCTGCACCTCTGCAGGTGCTGTCCCATCTACCCAGCGTGGCCTTTCCTCTATGTCCATCTCGAAATTCCTACAAGGCTCTCCTTCCAGAATATTCTTCCCCACTCCCTCTCCACCCGTCTGTCCAGGGTTAGGAATGCTTCTCGAGGTGCAAGGAGTCCTGTATCCACTCGTATCACAGTGATTTGTCCACACCTTCATCTCCCTGTCTTGACCGGAGGTTACAGATGGGCAGCCCCCAGGCTGAACCATCAACAGCTGCAGTGTTTTACATTTAAGTTAATTGCCAAAACCTACAGGTCAAAGGATTTCACACAAAAACCCAGATTCTTGGCTCCTCTAGAAAAGTCAGGGACCTGCAACGTTGGGCTTACGTTCCCACATGGCCATGACATGCCAGCAGCAAGGACTGGGACTCTGGCATCTCCACTTCTGTGGCTCCAACCCCCGGTACAGCGCCTGGCCCACAGTAGGCACTCAAGGAAAGCGTATTTATGAAATTGGAGAGACCATACCAGGTATTGGAAAAAAGATCAGTTCAAGAGTCAAGAGATCTGGGGTTGGTTCTGATCAAGTTGACTCGTGTGACCTTGGCCTTTCTCTGTTTCCTTTCCTTAAAATAATGATAGTTCCCACTTCCCAGAGTCGTGGCATGTGTTACTGCATCAAGGAACTCGATAAACATTTGCTCTCTAGGATGACAGGAAGAATGGGAGAGAGTTCAAATCCCAGCTCTGCTACTCACTAGCTTTGCAACCTTGAGCACTTGAGTTAACCTCATTTAGGCCTTGATTTCCCCAAATGGAGATGATACAAGCCTCACAAGTGTTATTGTGAATATAAAATATGGACATGAATATTAAATTAATTCATCCCTAAAAGCACTTAGGACAAGGCCAGCATGCAGTATGTGCTCAACATAGACCAGCTGTGGCTGTTACAGCCGCTCAGAGAGGGGTTGGACTAGAATTTCTCAGGAACTCTCATGGCTCAGAAATTTTCTGAGCACCTTAAGCCCAGTGACTTTCAGACATTCAGCTGTCCTTTAGTCATCAAGAATATATAGAAGACCCATGGGGCAGTGGGGTACAGGGGATGGAATTCACCACACAAGTGTTCACCCTCTTTCTGGAAAGTTCCAAAATGCTCTTATGATGATGCTGACTAAAATCACACCGAGTAGCAGCAACAAAAAGAAGAGAGTGAGTGTGGTACGGAGAATAGCCCTGTGAGGGAGGTGCTACTATCACCCCCTTGCAGATGAGGGAACTGAGGCTTTGGAGGCTGCCCCAGGTGTATCTCAGTGTCTCAGCTACATGGGGCTGCCCTGAGAGGGTGGTCACTCGAGGGGTCCTTTTAAGGGAGAAACCAGGTCACTCATGGAGAACAGGTTGGCCTGGAGGAGGGCCGGCAAGAGGGAAGCAGACAGAGGCTTCCTGATCACTCAGCCTGGGGTGTCTGAGACAGACGCACATGATGTCACAAAAGAAGAAAAGTGGTTAAAGGGAATGAAGGAGAGACAGGCCTTTACCCTAATACCAGGAATCAATCCCAAGGAAAGAAAATTCCAGACAACTTGCATTGTTTTGCTCCAGATTCAGGGCAGAAACCATCAGAGTCATTTGCAGACTGTGTGTGTGTTCATTCTCCTGCACAAGGCTGGTGGCCACCCTAAGACACAGAGCAGCTGCGAGAGGGCAGAATGTTCCAGTGTCTGAAGGGCACGGAAATCTGAGCACAGGCATCTTTGCTGAGGGGATGCTCTTCCTTTTAAGCATCAGCCATCAAAGATCCCAGGCGCTCAGGGAGAGTGAGAACAGCGGGTGCATTTGGCCAGCCTGCGATGGTGATGGTAAACCAAATCTGTCCAGATAAGCTTCCTCCCATTCATTCATTCCACAATCACTTGCTGCGCACCTACTAAGTCCCAAGCACTTATATTCTCTCACTTTGCATGTAGCTTCTACTAGGCCCATCTTTAGAGGCTCAGGGATGAGGTGACTTGCGCAGGCCGGGAAGATGGCAAGGATTTAAGTCTCTGACCACCTGACCACGAAGCAGGAGGGACCCACCCCCGCCCCAAGTCAACCTATATTTACGGAGCTTCCCCTTGTGGTGGGCGGTGTAGTATGTGAAGCATCCTCTATTTTGCTGGAGAGCAAAGGCACTAGGAGGAAAATTCCTGAGTCCAACCGCCCAGCTTCATAAAAGTTCACTTGTTTTCCCTCTTGTTCACAGACATCACTTTCAACACTTTCATGTTTTGGATTCTAAAGCTCAGGCCGTCCTTGAGCTTTTAAAATGAGATTTCCCTACGGGATGCGGGGCAAGGACCGGATTTCTCGCTGCACCTCATAGCCGTGCTCCTCGGAACCGGGAGCGGGGGAAGCGGCAGGAACCGGCCCGGGACGTCAGGTCGCCCGAGACTCGGCGTCGGCAACTGCGGCCTGGGCCACTGCGCAGGCGCCAGACTGCCGAGGGCCCGCCCAGCCTCGCCGTGGGCGAACCTACTTCCAGAAGGGCAGGGGGTGTGGCAAATAGGGAGGATGGGCCAAGCCAGGCTCTGGCCAATCAGAAAGCTTCTTTTATCGCCTCTCTGGTTACTTGATGTTAGAGCTTCCTCATCCCGGGACGCTGGGGCGGAGCTGGCGTGGGCGTGGGGGCGGGGGTGTGTCTGGAGATGGAAATGATTGTCATCATTTGTAACCACTCGTCAAGTTGGATGAACTTGAAGAGCAGATATCTCTACGAATTGTATTGCAAAGAGAGCTCTTAGCCCCGCCCCCTCCCCCCATTGGTTCTCCGAGGGTGGGTGCTTTCAGTGGGAACCAATCAGGGGCCGGCGAGGTGGAGGAGGCGGGGCCGGTGGCCACGGTTGCCTGGCGAGCGCGGTTGGTGCTGTTCTTGGGATGCTAGGGGCGCCAGGTTGTTTCCTCCGGACCCGGGGTGGGCTGAAGGGCTGGATCCGGAGCGTGAGCCGCGACCTTTCGCGTGCACCTTGTAGGGCTGCCGTCTGGGGCCTTGTGCCGGGCGGTCTGGAGCCTTCCTGCTCCTCCCATCCTCAGCGCCTGATACTCGCCCTCGGCCCAGCCCGGGAGGCCCAGGCCCGGTCTGACCCCCTCCCCACCGCGGCCACAGGCCCTTGAGATCAGCCCTCCCCACTTTCCCGGCCCAGGCCGGCCCTGAGCCCCCCCGCGAAGCCCACCCACCAACGCCTGTAGCAGCCGCGCTTGCCTCTGGTCCGTGGTAGTGTCGGTTACCATGGTGAAGCTGGCGGCCAAGTGCATCCTGGCAGGTGAGTCTGAACACTTGCGCTTGGATACACAGTGGTCTCCGGAGTGCAGAGCCTTCATAATTTATCGACAGCTTTTGTTCGCGTAAATTGTCTACCCTCTTTCCCTTTCTCTATCCCAAAGGCGATTTGCTGCAATTACTGATAGAGTAAATTACAGTCGGTGTGGAAGAATTCTCTTCCAGAGCACATTTGTAGCTCCAGCTGATTTCCCCTGCTCCCTGTCATACTCTGAGACCACCTTCACCATTTGAGCTGATTCATTAAAAAATCACTCGTTAAAATCTGGATGAGCAGACTTGTTAAAAAAAAAATCAACTTAAGCAAACCATAAGTGCTTCAGCTAAATAAGCATCAGCGACTTCGATATTCTTTACTATGGGATTTTTTTTTCTGACCCTGTCCCCCTGATAACAGGGGGGCAGAGAGAGAGTAATGTATGGTGACCAGAGTCTGCAAAAGGCACCTGTGTGTTGTCTTTAAGACCCAAGTTACCGTGCTAGCTCAATCTCAGGAGGCTATCTTGTTTTGTTGACTGATACATCCCACACACTCAGAACAATGTTTGAAACATAGCAGGCACTCAATAAATATTTGTAGAATGAATGAATATATGTCATACATATTTGTAGTGTTCCCCTTGTATCAGTCTGCACATTTAGGAAAACAATAGCTTGGATTAGAGACATATGATGACCCAACATGTATGTATTTTACTGAACCCTTAGTGCATGACAGGCACAGGTATTAATACTTAATCGTCTCACTGTAGCACGCTGTGGGAAGAACTATATTGTCCTCATCTTACTGAGGCAATGAGAGGTGTTGGCCAAGGTCAACCCCTAGTGAAGGTCATGCACAGGATTTTAACCCCCAGATCTGCCCAACTCCAAAACTTTTAACTTGTGCTGTTGAAACCTGGGACCTTCCGAGGCTTCCCTGACCAGCTCAGGAAAGAACCAGTGAGAAATTATATAGAGTAAAAGAGATTCCTTTTTTCTTACTCCTCTCTTCCAGACTGAAAATAAATCATAATATTTTAATGACTTCTAATTTGAAAATAAAAGGGTCACACAGAAAGATGACTGACAATAGTACCTAAATCATACTGGAGCAAAAGAAATTAATGGTTCTCAAGAGAGTCTCTAGTTTCCAGAGCACCAGGGGAGGCAGTATTGTGTAACAAAAATAATTCTGCCTGTTCCTCTTACTGGCTGTGTCACTTGGACAAAGCGCTTTTTTGAGCTTCAGTTTCCTCACAGATAAAGTGGGAACATTTTTATTTTCTAAAGTTAGATTCTTTACAAATGGGCTTCTCTTTCTGACTGTTCTTTCTCTTAATTCTTTTTTGATTCAACTTCCATAGTGGAGCTAACTTACTAAGCATTTTCTATGTGTCATTGTGCCAGACCAATAATGCAGGTCGCCTTACTGAATCATCCTCACAACAACCCTATGGGGTCACTGTTATTGTCATCCTCATCTAAGGATGAGGCAGCTAGGCCCAGAGAGGTGAAGACACTTGCCCTGGGTCACACAGCTGGACACAGCAGAGCTATGTGAGCCAGACCCTGGGTCCTGAACCAGCAGATCAGATTTCCAGGGCTTTGTTCTTAGCCCAGGCTATACTGTCCTTAAGCCATTCTCCTTTTTGCCCTTCTCCATCCACACTCCCCTGGGCACTTGTTTCACCTGATTTCAGCCACTGCCTGAGTAAGGGGTCCTGAACTCCAGCCTGCCCCTCAGTCTGCAGCCTCCTTTCAAGCCCTCAAGGGCATTTCCTTCTGAAACTTTCCAGGGACCAAAAGACCTCATCCCAGTGAATCAGTGAATCAGCCCCCTTTACCAAGTTCTTTCTCCACGCCAGCCTCACCATGCATGCCCCTACCGGTTAAACTGAATTACTCTGGCTGGCTTTTCTAGTCATAACGCAGTATTCAGTTCAAGTGTTTATTCATTTAATAGATCTCTACTGAGCACCTACTATGTGTGAGTCACCATGCAAGGTGCAGTGGGAATACCAGGATGAGTCAGCCCAGCCCCTACACTCAAGGAAGAACTAAAATGTGCACAGGAAGTTGCAGGCCAGCATATGCGCATTGAATGCCCTTCGTGTGCCAGATATGAGGGAAATACCTCAAGGCACAGACAGCTGTTACATGTTCTGACTGAGATGAAGAGAGAAAACAGCACTTGTGTGTTTATATTTTATTTACTTAAAAAAACATTTAAGGCCAGGCATGGTGGCTCACGCCTGTAATCCTAGCACTCTGGGAGGCTCAAGGTGGATCGCTCAAGGTCAGGAGTTCAAAACCAGCCTGAGCAAGAGCGAGACCCCGTCTCTACTAAAAATAGAAAGAAATTAATTGACCAACTAAAAGATATATATATGTATACAAAAAAAAATTAGCTAGGCATGGTGGTGCATGCCTGTAGTCCCAGCTACTCAGGAGGCTGAGTCAGGAGGATTGCTTGAGCCCAGGAGATTGAGGATGCTGTGAGCTAAGCTGACACCACGGCACTCACTCTGCCTGGGCAACAAAGTGAGAATCTGTCTCAAAAAAAAAAACAAAAAAAAACCCAAAAAACATTTAAGTAGTACTTACTATATGACAGGTACTGCACGTATTAACTCATTAAATCCTCATAACAGTCCTATGAAGTAGGAGCTATTATTTTCCTATTTTACAGGAGTAGCAAGTGAGGCACAGAGATTAAGTAATTGCCTGACAGTCACACAGTAAGTGATGAAGCTCAGTCACTCCAGTGTCTGTGCCCTTGGGTGCTGTGATATACGGCCTCCTGATATATGCGGGGATGACAATAGTGCCTCACAGGGGGTGGCTTTGCTATCAAATCTCACAGTACCTGCAATGGTCCGTGTTAGCCGCTCAGGTGAAGACGGTGGGGGAGGGATGACCCTCAGAGGCTCTGCAGGAAGGACACTCTTTGAGCTGTACCTGGCAGAGAATGGGCAGGCTTTGTACTGGGAGAGCTGGAAGGTGGTGGCCCTGAGGGACTTTTAGGGACTGAGCAAACAGGAGTATGTGGCGCCCAGATTTTGTGTGAGGGATTGCTGGGGAGTGAGTTGGGAGGGGGTCCGGGCTGACTGGGAAGAGATGTCAGCAGCGGGAGCCCCCTCTGCGGGTTTTGCATGAGGGGTTGACAGGAAGAAAGCACTGCTTTATTAACAGGAAGGTCCATCTGCTGATGTCAAGCTCAGAGTGGGTTAGAGCAGGGAGAAAAGGAGGAGAGAAAGCCGCTTGGGAAGTATTTTCAGTCAAGGCCCAGTTGAGAAAACAGAAAATGCGTTCGTCATTGGGACAGAGGAATTTTAATGTATGGAATCGGTCCATCAGGTACTGGAGAGGTGGAAAAGCAAGAAGGCGGCGTTGAGGCAACGCAGAGTGGTGGACAGAGGCTGGGGGTGTCGGAAGCTTGACAAAGAGCCCCAGAGGGCTGAGATGCAGGCCTCTGAGGAAGGGGCGCTGCCCTCCTGGTGCTGGCAGTCACCTCGTGAATTCAGTCACCTGCGTGTGACGCCACCACGTGCCAGTGGTCACTGGGACTCATTTCCCACTGGAAGGAGCGCAGCCCCGTGTTCAGGGCAGGACAAAACCAAACCAGTTCCGAACCGTCCTGGAGGGTCTGTATTTCAAGACCACTTCTGGTACCGAGGACTACATAAATCAGAGTCCGGGCAAAGAACAGAAGTGGGTATCTCTCTCCACACAGTGCGAATTTTGCGTGGGATGTTAATTAAACAGGTATTGGACACCTGGAAAGACAAAAGGGGACACTAAGGCAGCAGGGGCTGTACCTGCCGGAAGGAGCACTTCCTCCAGGGCGTGGCGAGCAGATTGGAGGGGTGGGGTGAGCAGAGCCTAGAAGCTCGGAGCAGGGGCCCTGGGAGCTGAGGTGCAGGCCTCGGAGAAGGAGGCAATGCCCGCGCTGCTCCTGCCTCTGAGGGGCCACGACAAGGCTGGTCTGGGAGTGCGACATACCAAAGCAGAGACAGGAAGCAGTTCCTGCTGCCAGGGTGAAGGTCAATGCCAGGGTAATGCCAAGATGAAGGAGAAGCAAAGGGAAGGAACAGTTCCCTCCTCCCCACTCCGGCCTTCCACTCTCTCTAGAACTCCTGTTGGCACAGAGAATGTATTTGCAGAGTCTCCACCCAGCAGAGCCTGGAAGGGGGCTTGGGGCCGAGACAAACCCAGCGAGGAGCTACCGGGGCAGTGTCGGCAGTCAGCAAGGGGTGTGGGCTCCAGACACAGCCGAGGATGTGAGGGTGCTCGGGGACCAACTGGAGACTGGGGAGAGGGGGGAGGAGCAGTCAGAGATGCCGGGCTGAATCTGGGGACAGTGAAAGTGCACGGTGGCATCAAGAACAGAAAGAGTGGGCTAGGTGGGCAAGCCACTCAGGACGGGGGCGTGACAGGAGCCTGGCTGCGATGAACTGAGACCAGCTAAAGGCCTGTCATTGTAGCAGAAACGTCCACAGGTTGTTGGAAAGACAGAAGGGTGGGGGAGGGAGAGCCTGCCTTGAGAAGTGACAGTCAAGGTAGCGAGAGTGAGTGAGACAGAGTAGCCTGGGAGCAGAGAGCCCTCCGAGGGCAGGGCAGCAGGAGAACCGGGCCAGTGCAGGGTCGCCAAGGCTACAGGGACAGGGCTCGGGCAGGAGGGGCAGCTTCAGGCTGACTCACATCCTTCAGAGTTGTCAAGGAGGCTGAGAACTGAGAAAAGGCTGCTGGACTTGGCAGTCCTGTCACAGCGACCTCATGTCGTGCCTTTGCAGATGCCATCCTCTCCTGTCCCGCAGACCCCTCCCTGCTGTCACCCCCAGGCCCAGCCCTTGCCTCTAGGGAAGCCTCCCACGCTAGCAAACCCTCCTGTTCGCTTCTTTTTCCTCGATGCTCCCTCAGACACTTTGGTTCTCAGCTTGTGCTACTTGAATTTGCACTTGTCATCTTGTTGCTCTGCAAATGTGTTTATCAGCTATTTCGCCTCCCTGTGCTCCGATCCTTCCTCGTAGCCAACACCGGAAGTTTTCTATAAGCGTTGGTGACTCTGACTGACAGTCGGAAGAAAGATTTATGAAATTAAGCAGAACAAATCTGTGGGGGATTTCACAAGCAGGAAGAGCCAATTTCCAACTGGATTCAGGAGCAAAATTGGAGTTGGGAGGGTGGACGTTGTCAAGGCCCAAAGAAGCAACGTGATGCGCTCTGTTTGCCCTTAGATGGATGGGTACCAATGACAGTCCAGGCTGTGATCGCTGGGATGTCACGGAAGGCTGCAGTAATGAGGGCCTGCAGGGCAGCATTCGAAATGGGTCAGAAGTGGCCCCTGAGCTGTAGGAGAGGAGCAGGCCTGGGGGAGAGAGCACGAGGGTGGAATCCTGGGCAGGTTACCCAGCTCTCTGAGCTCCGTCTCCGCCTGGCAGGTGAGGTAATGATACGCAGCGTGGCGGGGAAGGCATGAATGAGACTGTATGAGCGGGTTCATGGGGAGGGCTCAGCACATGTTGGCTCCCTTCTGAGAAGGGGTAGCAAATAGAAAAGCCAGACCTGAATAGCTCACTCAAACCTGGGGGAGTTCACGTAAAATGAAGTGCCACAAGTAGTCAAGCAATTGTCTTACGAGAGAAAATTATAGGTGGGGAAAGTCACAGCTGAAAAGCGAGCAGAGTGGCAGACTGCCGAGAAGTGGAGGAAGGAGAAGTGCCGGAGCCGACTGTCAAGTGGGGGCGCAGGTGAAGAGCTTGTACTGAGCGATGCCCGCCAGGGCACAAGGAGCACAGCGGTGACTTCGCTAAGAATCCAGAAGGTGAGGAAGCAGAAGACGGTGCTCTGCGAGGGGGCTGGATGGTGGCGTGAGGATCAACATAAGACTTTCAGATGAAAACAACTGGCATCAAAGGAGGCCAAGCACAGCCACGTTGGAAAAATGTGGAGGGGGACGGGGACTTGAAGGTGTGCAGGGAGAGCGTCCAGCACCTCAACGGGCACAAAAGTGACTCCAGTCAGTTGCCCCCACCAGTCTTTGAAAGGTTCAGAGATCAGACTGGAAACGAACATAAACCTTGAGTTCTGGGGTAGCAGTTCTAGGACTATCTACCAACAAAGGAAGTCCGGGAGATAAACCCAGTAGGTGCAAGGCGAGCTTGGAGGAAGTGATTGCTGTCGCAAATAGAACTGTGGAGAGGCCCTAGGAAGGTGGATCCTCAGTGGTCCCAGCGGGGCATGCAGAGATGGAGATGGAACACATCACCTGGAAATGGGCTTTGGGATGGTGACCGCAGCATCTGACATCGTACGTCCCCCAATGCAGGCGCACTCTCAACTCCCACAAATAAAGAGAGAAAGTGTCAGGTAGAAGCTCTCAGCCCACACTGGCTCGGTTCCGTTGTCAGGTGGGTCTCCATGTCTGCGCTGCTCACACTTCCTTACCTTCCAAGACTTCAAAGTAAATTCAGGTTTGGACGTGACAGGCTTTCCCCCCAGGGTGTGTTTCAGCGGAAGAGTGTCATTTCTGTTTCCAGGGCTCCGCCAGCGCCGTCCCCTCTGGGTCAGCTCCTCTGGATGAAAGGCTGAGCCGTGCAGAAACGTGCTCCGGCCGCCGCGGGCTTCGCAGATGCGTCTCAGACCTCGCGTCCCAGACCTCGCGTCCCAGACCTCGCGTCCCAGACCTCGCGTCCCAGACCTCGGGTCCCAGACCTCGGGTCCCAGACCTCGCGTCCCAGACCTCGCGTCCCAGACCTCGCGTCCCGCCCGCGGCCCCAGAACACGCTCTCGGGAGAGCCGAGCACGTGTTCTCTCAAAACTCATGGACGTCTCTGGCGTCTAGACTAGAGGTGTGCGGCGGGAGAGTCTCGAATCAGTGGTGTTTTTCTCCTCTGGCCTCACAGGAGACCCGACGGTGGGCAAGACCGCCCTGGCTCAGATCTTCCGCAGCGATGGGGCCCACTTCCAGAAGAACTACACCCTGGTGAGCTGTGGGAGTGGAGGCCTGGCTTAAAGAGAAGGGAGGAGGCCGGGCGCGGTGGCTCACGCCTATAACCCTAGCGCTCTGGGAGGACGAGGGGGGCGGATCCTTTGAGCTCAGGAGTTCAAGACCAGCCTAACCAAAAGCGAGATCCCGTCTCTACTAAAAAAAAAAAAAAAATAGAAATTAGCTGGACAACTAAAAAAAATATATATGTATATATATGTATATGTATATAAATTAGCCAGGCATGGTGGACACCTGGAAAGACAAAAGGGGACACTAAGGCAGCAGGGGCTGTACCTGCCGGAAGGAGCACTTCCTCCAGGGCGTGGCGAGCAGATTGGAGAGGGTGGGGTGCATGCCTGTAGTCCCAGCTACTCAGGAGGCTGAGGCAGCAAGATTGCTTGAGCCCAGGAGTTTGAGGTTGCTGTGAGCTAGGCTGACGCCACGGCACTCTAGCCCAGAGTGAGACTCTGTCAAAAAAAAAAAAAGGAGCAGTTAACCCTGAGTGACTCTGCACAATTCCTTGAGGGGCCCCGAGAGGCCAATGAGAGGCTGCTCAGGTGACCACGCGGAGATGGTTGTGTCCCCGGGCCCCGGGCGAGGGGCTGTCCTCAGAGCAGACTGGCCGCAAGCAGCTCGGCTGTCATGAGTAGCAGCTTACTCGGGGGCAGGAAGGGGAAAGGACCAGCAGGCCCTCTCTGACTTCTGCCGTATGAGCCACTTGTCACCAAAATGAGTCCAGAACACAAACCCTTCGGCTGGGGACATCCCCCCAGGGATTTGGGTGCTTGCTGTGTCCTCCTGTGACGTGCCCCTCCCTCCGGGGCTCTCATGTTCTCGGTGTTCCTCACAGACAACAGGGGTGGATTTGGTGGTGAAGACGGTGCCGGTTCCCGACACGGGCGACAGTGTGGTGAGTGGTGCCTTACTCCGGGGAAGCGTGGGCTACCCCAGCTGAGCCCAGGGTCTCCGTGGTCACTGCCGTCCTCCCAGGGAAGTTGCAGTGCGAGAAGGTGGCCTAGACTCTGAGGGAATGCAGAAGCACACAGGGAGGGACTGAGGAGGAGGAAGGCAGGAAGGCTGGGACCTACGCCTGGCCCTCAAAGAACTTGTCATCTAGTATCAAGGTTCCTAACCTGGATTCCTTTATGGGAACCGAGGACCCTTGGAGTTGAATGGCAAGATGTTACGTTTGTCTGTGCTTTCCTGGAGAGGGTTTGTAGCTTTCACCAGATTCTTAAATAGGTCCATGAGAAAAAAAAAATTCTAAGTACCCCCGATGAAGGGTAAGACAGGTGCACAGGTAACCAGTATGCAAAGCAGATGGTGCTACCGCCCCTCAGACCGCGTGCTGGGGGTCAGAGGCCAGCCGGGGCATCCCCAGTGCCACGGGGAGCTTGACGAGGCGCTGAGGGGGACTTCCTAGAGCAGCAGCACTGGGGACCCTCATGAGGGCTGGGGCAGGTTCGGACAGGGGCAGGAAGGGTCATCCCTTGTCCTCTGTCTGAATCACACCTTCGCCACCCCAGAGCGATGACAGACTGTCCTACTTTACCCGCCTTCCCCAGGCCTACTCAGTGACCTCCTTTAAGAAGAATTGTTTTAAGATTTGAAAATCAATTTGGTTAACAAAGTGCAGAATGACCTTTTGGAAACCAGAGCACTTGTCGGCCTGTTTAGCATTCTGTTCTGCCAGGTGGGAAGTCAGCTTGTTCCCGGTATTTTTGCACTCGGGGTTAGGAGAGGTGAGACGCGCACAGAAAGTGCTGGTTGGTGTGGGAACCCGTTGCACTGTCTGTCTAAGCCTGTGGAGCTCATTCCTTCCGGCAGCATCTTTCTCGTGCCTGTCCCCGGAGCATGCACGAAAACGCGTATGCATGCGGGTGCGTGTATTTCGCCGCTAAGACAAGTCCGTAGTGAGTGGAGACTGATGCCGGTGCCTCATAGCCAGCGGTTTTCCCACATGGAGACTTTCTTCCTGGACATGCTTTTCTGATTTTAGGAACTCTTCATTTTCGACTCTGCCGGCAAGGAGCTGTTTTCTGAAATGCTGGATAAATTGGCAAGTAGCATTCGGTCTATTTCCTAACCACCATTACCTCCTGCCAAAAGGTTTGCCCCTGACAGTGTTCACGTGGAAATGTCACTGCACCGTGGCCATCTAGAGAAGCCACCATGGCAAAATTCTTTATGGGGCCTTCCTCCAGCCTGGGACTTGCAGCCACGTGGGAGAAGGCGTGGCTGATGTGCATAACTGCCCCTCCCCAGCTCTGGGGTGGCCAGTTCCAACGTGCCAGCGCCTGTGGCTCAGCCCTTGCAGCCCTCCCACCCCGGGGCTTCCATCTTTTGAGCAGCCCCTCCTGGTGGTGTCCTTTCCACACTCCTTCTCAGCCTCCCAGGACAGCACAGAATGTTTCCTTCCCCTCTGGGCAGAGCCCTGTAATGAGGCTGACCCTTGGAGGGGTGGCACCGGAGCTTCCATGAGGCGTTCCACCGGGGCTTGCTCTGAGACCTGCCCCTGCTGCTGCCCAGGGCGCGTGTGCCCTGTGCCCTCCCCATCCAGCCGTCCCGCCAGCACCCAGCCTGCTGTCCCTCCCAGCACAGCGGCTTCCCTAATCTGGGCCATGAGCTAATTAGAGGGTTTGAGTTCTCCAGAGCCCTCCCTGGCCTTTCCAAGAACAGCCACATCTTAATGGAAACTGTTTTCTGGCCTCTTTTGTTGTCTCACAGATGTGATCTAATGACAATAACTTCACACAGGGCTGGGTTCATGCACGATGCATGATGTTTACCAAGTGCCTACTGTGTGCTCAGCCTGGCCCTGGGGCTGCCTTGCCCAGCAGAAGGGAAGATCAGTTTGGGCAGGTCGGGGCTACATGCCACAAATCATTCTCTCTCTCTCTCACTCACACTCACACCACGGCCAGCCCTGAGTCTGGGCTCTCCTGCTCCAGCTTCAGCTTAATCCCAGGCGTCGCCGGGGCCCCTCACCGAAGCCTGGAAGCAGGAAGGCTTCTGGAGTTAGAACCATGCTGGGGCATCTCTGGCACGCACACAGCCAGTGTCTGCTAGCAAGAGTTCAAGAGTTAGTCTGTGGTGTGAAGGGATAATCAGTGTGGTCCAAGCTCCTCCCTTTCTGGACTCCACCAGGAGCTGGAGTAGCCTTGTGGGGTGGGGCGTGAGCCCTCCGGAGCCCATCCAAGGATTGGAAAGGAAAGGGAATCCAGTCTGGAGGGAAGCGGATTCTCCCCCATGCCCTGAGAGGTTACTGACACCCCAGAAATAAATCAGCCTTCAGTTGTGCAGATTGGCAATGCCTAGAAACCAGGGCATGACCAAGGGTCACATGCACCAGGGCGAGTGTCCACAGCCTGTGCAGGGCCATCCTTCATTACAGCGGCAGGCTAGGACTTCCCTGGGCTCTGAGCAGCCCCTGAAGGCAACAGCCCCTGAGAGTGTAGCCCTGGCTCTTAACTAGGACGCCAAGCCCGATCCACTTGCTGGTGTGGTTTGCATTAGGGCTGATGCAGACACCACAGGAGAAGCAGAAACTGCCCTTTGCATTTTAAAAAGCCAGCCCTCATTAAGAAGATGCAAGCAAACAAGCTTCCAGGGACTGCTAATGAAAGGAAGGGCTGCCCAGCACACAAGCGTAACAACTCGCATGATAGCGGCCCTCCCAAGAACAAGTGGAAGAAGGAATAATTAGTGGGACCATTGGCTGGCGGAAGCACAGTCCTCCTGTCTCTGCAATCGTTGTTTTTAGAGCACATCCGACCTGGGCAAGTCACTTACCTCCCTGAACTCGGTTCTCCAGCACAAAGTGGGACTATTCAGACCGACCCTGCCAAGCCGGGAGGCTTCACAGTGACACACAGAAGCGCCCAGCAGGGAACCTGGCCCTGCCCTGCCAGTGAGCATGGCCCCCCAGTCATTCGTTTGGGGGAGCTGCTTGACTTCTGCGGGCGTGGCTGTTTTCTGCCTCCCATCCCCTTTGCAGTTTTCCACTTCCCTCCACCCTCATGTCCCTTCCCTTGGGAGGACACATTTTCTCCCAGCCTCGAAGTCCCTTTCCCTGTTACTGACACGCGCTCATCTTGTCCCTCTCGCGCAGTGGGAGAGTCCCAACGTCTTATGCCTCGTCTACGACGTGACCAGCGAGCAGTCCTTCAACAGCTGCGCCAAGTGGCTGGAGAAGGCCCGGGCACAGATCCCAGGCTCCTCCCTCCCAGGTAGGAGCTGCAGACACTCCCGGGAGCGCCTCTGCCGTTCAGTTCAGGAGGGCCAGGGCATGGCAGAGGTAGCGCGGGTGCTGAAAAGGGCCCCGGGGCTTCGAACTTGCTGGCCTAGACCGTACCCTGGCTCTGCCGCTTAGCAGCCTCGTGAGCCTCAGTGAGTTGTCACCGTCTCTGCCAAATGGGAATGGGTTGCGGGAGACACGTGCTGTGATAGGAGCTGTCATCTCCGGACAGCTAAGCCCAGGGAAGAGTTCCTCATTTTCCCCTTATGTGGGCACAAGTAAACATGCAAGTCCTGTTGTCACTTTGGAATGCTTTAAATCAGTTTATTTTTCATCCCTATGTGAGATCAACAAATTCTCCTCATTATAGACCCGGGAAAGTGATCTCCAGAGACAGGCTCAAAAATTAGCTGCAGCTGATGCAGCTGGGAGCCGAACTAAATTACCTCCACATGCCTGACTCCGAGCCGAGTCCTCGGATTAGTATTAATGACCGTTTCAAAGTTTGCTCCACGTCCTAGGAATTATCACAAACGCTCACATAGATTTGGCCCTCGCCTTCACGGCCTCGCGGCCTTGGGGAGACAGAGACAGAGACACGTGAGTTCTGGGGAAAAGGCGACCAAAAGCTGTGCGTGAAAAGCCAAGCCCACCTGTTCTCTCTGTGGCCCTCGGGCCGGCGCAGGAGCCCCCTGGCTGTCCCTGTGCGGTCCCCCCTCATCAGGCAGCGTCTCTCGCGGGAGTTTCGTGGCTCTCAGAAATGGTGTGCTTGCTCTGTCAGTCCTCCCAGGCCTCTGCAGTCACCTGCCACGCTGTGGCTGTTTCTTTCGAGCAGGTGTTCTAGTGGGGAACAAGGCAGACCTGGCCGGCAGGCGAGTGGTGGACTCAGCTCAGGCCCAGGCGTGGGCGCTGGGCCAAGGCCTGGAGTACTTTGAAACCTCCGTGGTGAGTATCTCTGCCTGCTCGGTGGCCGGGTCTGGGCCGGGCCTCTGCAGGACGCGGTTCCCCATGAGCTCACGTCATCGTCATCCAGTTGTGACTCCACCTTATGTGGATCTCATTTAGAACCGACGTTTGCATTTAGCCCAAGACCTTTCTCAGTGTAGCAGCATCACGGTGCGTGCGTCACGGTGCAGCGGGTCAGCCAGCCAGCCCTGGGAAAGTGGCATCTGCATGAGTAAGAAACGCAAGTGTGCTGTGCTCAGTGACCGCGACCCTTGGCGTCTGCATGAGAAGCCGTGGGCTGTGGCGGTGCTGGGCCATCATTGCCCTCAACCCTCACATCGTCCTGTGTACCAGGAGCCGGCCCACAGTTCCCATGTCAGGGTTGGGGGTCAGCTGACTTGCCCGAGGTCGTGTGACTAGTGAAGGGTAGAGCCAGGACTAGGATTCGTGGCTTCTAATTCCCACCAGGCCGCCTTGTCCTTGCTGCAGCCCCGGGGTGACTCCAGGCCACAAAGTGCCCTCCAGAAAAATCAGCAGGAGACCTCATTAGGTGGGAAGCCAGGAGTGATTTGTTACCGGCAGCTTTAGTACACATATATCACGACTTTGGCCGTCCAACGCGGTGGACTCTGCTTCCTGCGTTTGGCAGTTTTGAAGTCCCAGCCTCCCTGCAGCCAGGGTGTGGGCATGTGACCCAGGTTGCCCCAGACACCTTGCGTGAGACTTTGCTGGGATGGGTGGCAAGTGAAGATTCATCCTGCAAGAGCAGGTGTCCTGGAAACATCCATCTCAGAGCCGGCAGAGGTGAGGTGCTGGCTGCTGTGCCCATCGCCAGCGTTGCCGGGGAGACCCACTAGGCCTGGCACAGCCCTGGTTGTAACCTGGACCTCACCTGGTCCTGACTCTTTGGCCCAAAAGGGTCAGTGGGCTGGTGAGTACCCTGGAGGTGTCTTCTACTCAGGCACTTCTGTGCTTGCCTCTGTGAAACTTGACCAGTGCTGCTGTTCAGTTGCTGTGTGGGCGGGAACTTTCAAAAGCCCCCCACACTGCATGCTTCCATATGAAAAGTGTGGCGGTTGAACGCAGGTGCTCTGAGCCCCAGTGGAGAGTAGCAGTACAGGTAGCGTGGACCCGGCGTGTTATTTAACCTCCTGGTGCCTCGGGCTCCTCACCTGTAAAATGGGGATAATAAAGCACATCCCTCATTGAGTAATAAATATGAGCAGTAAGATGGTGAATATAAAACACTTAGCACAAAATCTGGGGCACAATAAATGTTAGCTTTTTTAAAGTATAAATGTTCCCCCTACTAATCTTGTTTATACCATTATTACTTATTAAATCCTTGTATCCATAACTTACACAGAGAAAAATGTCACCCTTGCCTCTGGCCCAATTATCGCAAATGCTAAATTAATAAAGTTCAAATTAGTGAGCTTCTGCATAGAGGGTTCCTCATCTTTTGTGCAGCGTGCCTCTGAGCAAGGCAGGAAGCTGTGGTACCTACCCATAGAAAGCAATATTTCAGTATTCCCTCTTCCTCCATTCACACTTGTGAATTGTCCCCTCACCCCAATATCCCATATTCCCCAGAACTCTTGATAGGACTCAAAAATTAAAACCCACTCCCAACACACGAGTCACCAAAGGCCACTGGGCTGCGTGTTTAAACTCCGTTCAGGTGTTGGAACGAGTGGGTATAAATTATGCTGGAGGAGGCTGCAGTTAAGCACTTGGTATTAACTGTGCAAGTTAACTAGTCCCCCCTGAGTTGACGCTCACAGAAGCACCACTGGCAACTCGGTTAAGAAAGCTGTAATTAAAAAGGAAATATAACCAAATGCAGTCTGAGACGCAGCCAAGTCCCGCCGCCAAGCCCGGCTCCTCTCTCTCCTTCCTGAGTGCAGCGGTGACCCTCCTGCTGACGCCCAGGAGGTCCCTGTGTGGTTCTTTGACTTTCTGATACCCCTCAATATTTGAAATTTTCAGGCCAAAAAAATTAAAAAGTATTTCTTTAAACAGAGTTAAAATTTTTAAAAAATCGTTCATCACTATAAGGAGTTGGATAGTAGCAAATACAAACAACTCTCGCAAGCACGGCCCATAGGCACAACTGAAGGCCCGCCGTGTGCGGGTCGTTGTGCACACGCCAGCTGTGGGCCTCGCGAGAGCCCCGCCAGGCAGCTCTCCTGCCCCGTGGCGAGGCGTTGTGCACACGTCAGCTGTGGGCTTCGCGAGAGCCCGCCAGGCAGCTCTCCTGCCCCGTGGCGAGGTGTTGTGCACACGTCAGCTGTGGGCTTCGCGAGAGCCCGCCAGGCAGCACTCCTGCCCCGTGGCGAGGTGTTGTGCACACGTCAGCTGTGGGCTTCGCGAGAGCCCGCCAGGCAGCACTCCTGCCCCGTGGCGAGGTGGCCGGCAGCCTCAGAAGGCTGCGCAGCGCTCCTGGGCCACACGGCTAGTGAGAGCCAGAACCAGGACCAGGACTCAGCCCTTTCCAGCTTCAAAGCTTGTGCTTTCTAGAAAGGGTACTCTGGCCACCCACAGAGCCTGCCTGGGGACTCTCCGGGACAGGGTTCGAGGCCAGATTGAGCACTAGTCTGAGCCAGCTCTAAGGCTGCTTCACGCTAACAGGCCGCTCTACAGGTGCCCACACTTGTGAGCGAGAGTGCGATTAGTCATTTGACAGAAGGGTTCCTGTCATTGGCAAGCCTCTTAGTGCCTGCGGGAAACGGTTCGGTTTCCATGTGTTTCAGCAGCACTCCATGGTGTCTACGGAGGCTCGCCTGCGTTGGATTCCTTTTTATGTTGGGTTCTCCCAAGACTGTGCTTTGGAGAGCTTTCGAATCCATTTAGAAGTCCTGTGCATGCGTTCTGTAGGCCTCATTCTCTTTCTGTTCGACATGACCTCTGCTTTTGACAGAGCACTGTTTTATTCTTTGACATTCGTGTTGTCCCTAGGACCTTACGCTGTGCACAACCAGAGGTGCCTGGGAGATGCAACCGAACCCTTTCTTATGTCCGGCTGAACGGTGACAGCTTTCAGGTCCCTGGCAGCTGCGAGCTTAGTGTAGAGCTCGTCTCGGCTATAAACTGCCCACTCCTGCCTCAGCACGCTCTTAGCGTTGCCACCCCCACCCTTGCTCTTGAGCAGCTGTTTCCTTGGCTTAGGGTTTCCCTAGCTAGAAATTCCAGGTGACTCTCTCCATGGGACCTGGTTTCCTTTGCACGTTTCTCATCCCGGCTGGCCTGGTGGACAGGCAGCGCTTCTCAAATCGGGGAAGCTGGATGCTAGGCTGGCTCTGCACCAGCCAGCTGGGCCACTTCACCCCCTGGGCCCCAGACTACTCATCTGTGAAACAAAGGCACTGAGCTTGATGACTTCTGGAACGTTCTTCACTTTGGAATTTCTTCCGTTTCATTTGGGTGTTTCACTGCCTCTTATCAAGGCTGCACTTCTGCCAGCTGCCAAGGATCATTTCAAAACAGGTTCTTGTGCATTCATAGCTGGAGCTGCTGTCTTAAAAGTAGTAGGTTCTTTCTTCTGCCAACTTATTTCTCAAAAAAAGAAAGAAAGAAAATTAAAAATGCATGCTCACATACACAAAGGGTGAGAGAACAGTGGTTGTTTTCTTCCCTCTGCAGCCTATGCATGCTCACCCTGTAGGGCCTGTCCTCTGGCGGCCCTCTCCCGGCCTGGCCAGCCCCAGCCTCACCTCGATTCTTTCCAGGCCCGGGTCCTGCAGCAGCCTGGGCCCCCAGCCCTCAAACTTTCTCTTGAAAGCCTCCCACTGACTCGAGGTGAGGGAGAGGCGCCCCTCCCAGGGGAGATGGTGCAGTGCTAGCCATGTTCTTGAAGTTCTCTCCTCTGGCTTCTTCAGCCCTGACCTAGAGGTCAAGGGGAGCCCGAACATCCAGCTCTTCTTTGGAAGCAGGGGCCTCCTTGCCGTCTGTTATTTTGTTTTCCATTTGGAGCCTCCATCAAAACTGCATGAGAAAGGGTCTTGTTTCAACATCCTGTCACACGTACATGAGAGTGGCTGAAGGCACAGGCTCTATGGAAACAGACCTGGGCCGAGGCCCCAGCTCCACCATTTTCAGGGTGTGTGGCTTCCTGTAAATTACCTTAATCTGTCCGCATCTCGGTTTCTTTCTTGTAAAATTGGTGTAATGACGGTGCTACCCCAAATGGGGCGATGAGCAGTGAGGCAGAGAGTGGGCGGCACCTGACGTGGGTAAGTGTTGAGTGAGTGCTGGCTGTCTTCGATGACTGTGAAAATAACAGCCTCCTTTCTAAACCGTCTCGACAGAAGGAGATGGAGAACTACGAAGCCCCTTTCGTCTGTCTGGCCAAGCAGTTCCACCACCTGTACCAGGAGAAGGTGGAAGTTTTCCAGGCGTTGGTGTGAAGGGGCGAGGGGCCTGTCCCTCTCGAGGGAGCAGGGAGCGCCGCGCACCTGGCAGTGGGCTCCGTCTCCTTGGAAGAGGAGAGAAGATGGAATTGCCTCTGCACTCCCCATATATCATGACGGCTCTAAATAAAATTAGGAGACAATGTAGAAGCAGCAGCTCCTTCCGTTCTTGGCCAGGGCAGCCCTGGTTCCATTTTGCACTTTGGCTGCTGTCGGTGCCAGAGCAGCCCAGGAGTGCCTCTCGGGACCCTGGCCTCCCTCCCTCCTGTGCTGGGCCCGTGCTGCAGGCCCCGCCCTGCTGGAGTGGGTGTTCCTGCCCACCCCGCACCACCCAGCGACTGAGTGTGCAAGGCTCCCTGAAGGGCTTGGCATTGAGAAGGCAAACCCCACGTTGGGTTTGGAAAGGGCTTGGACCAGCTTGTGATTTCCTGTTAAAATGCCCAGCTTGGAACTTGCCCCAGAGCTGAGATGGGGCCGGTGGCCTCGCCTGCTCTAACCATTGGGTTTTGCTGCCTGCTCCCTGTACCCAGATGCCAGAGCTCCCTTGAGGTGGCTACTGTCACCGACAAAACAGTGCCCTCTGCCGGCCTGCCTGGGTGACTGTCTCTTCGCGGAGGGCCAGCCTCACCCGGCTGCCGGGAACCCTGGGCGCACAGCGAGCCAGAGCCCAGCCACTTGCCTTTAATGAGCCGCCTCTCGGGGAGCCGGGCAGCAGCATCCTTCTCCGCACTGAGCTGGACTGTTTTCCATCCTGTCTCCGCTGCCAGATTAATCTTCCTAAAACACCAGCCCCGTCGTCTCACTCCCCTGATTAAAGACCACAGAGGTTCCGCGTTGCCATCAGGCTACGCTGCAGTCTGGCGTCCAAGGCCCTGTCTGACTGTCGCCTCTGGTGCAGGGGCGGTCTCGCTTCTCGCAGCCCCCGTGAGCAGAGGGCTTCGTCGCCCTGGGGGCGGGGGACGTCGTGCAGAGATTGCCGGAGTTAGGGTCGACAGACCTAGGTTTGTCCCGGTGATAATGACAATGATGGAAATTACTCTGGTTCCTGTTTGTGACCTGCCGTGTCTCTACATGAGCTAAGCACATTACATGTATTAGTTAATTTAGTCCTTACGATGTAGAGTCTGTTGTCATCACACTTTTATAAATGAGGAGCTGGAGTCAGAGTTTCTACGGGACGCAGCCAAGGGGTGGCAGCGCCAGGAGCAGGGATGCTTCCGCCCCCTCCTGAGCTGGGCCAGGAGCAGGTGGAGGCCCGCCTGCGTCTCAAGGTCATCGTGAGAAGTGACATAACGGTGTTTGGGGCATCTGGGCACATGGCGTTAGCCAAGGCCAGGCCCTCGCGTCCCCCTTCCTCTCCGCCACTCAGCGTGAAGCCACACGGCCACTGCCGCGCCACCCCTTCGGGAAGTAGGGCCTGCGACCCGCCGAGCATTTTTCTAGGCACGGGCAGCACCAAGCTGCTGTTCTCGTGTCATGTGCTCCAGAGGGAGGCCCGCCGTAACCGAGGGGACACGGAGGGACGCGTTTCCAGTTGCCCCAGAACTGACAGGTTCTTACGGCCCACAGCTGTGGGCCAGGAGATGCCAAGTAAACCACTTCCTAAAGAGGTCACGAAAAGTCAAGGCCAGGCACTTTCCCGTGGCCTGGCTGCCGTGAGCCGGCCCAGCCCCTCGGCTCCCGCCCTTCGCTCTGTGCGGGACTGCAGTGGTGCAGAGAGAAAGGACTGGGTGGGCAGTGCTGGCCAGTGGGCGCCCTCCCTGCCCCACTTCCCCTGCACCCGGCCCAAGCAAAGGAGGCCCGGGAGAATCCCGGGACGGAGGGTGCTGCCAAGGAGAGGCGGCTGGCACGGCACGCCCAGCCGGATGCTCGAGGAGCTGCGGGAGCCTGGTGCCAGCTGCAGGCGCAGGGTGGTGAGGTGTCCTTGGGGTGCTCAGCACACTCCCTAGAGTCGTGCTTGGCTGGCTCTGGGGTGATCCCGTGGGGAGGGGCCTGCAGGGCGGTGGGAGGGCAGGGGCTGTACGCGGAAGGGGTGATCATGTGGGCTCCCATGTGGGCTCCTGTAGGACTCGTGGGAGGAGCTGCGGGGCCAGACAGGCGCTGGGCGGGCAGCTGCCTCCCACCCGGAAGGGGGCAGGGGCCTGTCCCACGGGCAGGCCTGAAGGGGGACGTGGCCGCCTGCTCCTGAGGGGACCCCAGCAAAGGAGGAGGCTCAGCCTCCAACAGCCAGGCGCCCGTCTCCACAGAGGTGGCGGCAGAAGGAACCAGGCGAGGGGCAGGCCCGTGAGGGAACAGGCGGCTCCTCTGTCCCAGCTCCCCCCTCTTCTGGGAGAGAAAGAACAAGATCCTGCTCCCCTCCTCACCCTTCTAGAAAAGAGGTTTGAATAAAGACTGGGAGTTTTGAACTGGGCTGCTCTGTGCTTTAATTTCTAAGTGCTAGCACGTGTTGGGAGGGCCTTGTGGTGAAGGCCCAGCCGGAAGGGGCCTCGCAGAGCGCGACGCAGTGAAGTGGTCGGGGCAATAAAGTGGAGCTGTGACAAGGAGTGATCTGTGGGGTCACTGGGTTGGGTGGGCAGGAATGACCCTGAGAAGAAGTGATATTGGAGCTGAGATACGATGGCCACATGTGTGTCCGGGGGACGAGCCATCCAGCAAGGACGGCAAGTGCAAAGGCCCTGAGGCACGAACAAGCTTAGAACGTCAGGGAACGTAAGGCCAGTGAAGCCATCCTCTGGTGTGTGCCACAAAAGCAAAGTGCAGGCGAGGAGGGCGGGGGCCACAGGGTGGTGAGGGTGTCACCTGGAGGAATTTGGATTTTATTCCAAAAACAACAGCAAGCCAGTGGGGGACAGACATCGTCGCTTTTTATCCTCATAGCGCTGGCACTATTTGGGAACCTAGCAAGTAACTATTAATCACCTCACTCACCTGGAGACCCTGTTCTCAATGAGCAAGCATTTACGAAATGCATGCCGTGTCTGCAGGTTTCATTCTTGAAGGAGTGCATTTGCTGGGCACCCACCTTGTGCCAGTCCCTGTTCTGGCACAGGTGCCGACGATTTGTCAGCGGATAACACAAAAATTCCCACCCTCAGGAGGCTTGTGTTCTAGAGGGATGAGAGAGGTGTTCCCTCGAACAGGTGAACCATGCAGCCTGTCTGGTGGCAGCAGGGCAGGGCCGGGTGAAGTATTAAATGGGAAGTCAGGGAAGACGTCACTGCGAAGGCGACATGTGGGCAGGACTTGGGAGGGGTCGGAGCACCTGGCACTTTGCAGACACGCGTGGTTCATTGCCGCCCAGAGGTGGAGCTTGACCTCCTCCTTGCTCTGGGTCTCGGTGAGACAAGCACGGGCTGTGTGGGGACACTGGGGGACGGACGCAGAGGGGAACAGGACTCAGCCCCGGCCTGAGAGCCGCATGGATCGCAGAAGAAAGCCCACACTCGATTTCCAAACTCCAGTGGAACCCACGAAGTGCCCCAGCCGTGGGAGGGCAAAGAGCCGCCCTCTGTCTCCTGCCGGATCGAGGAGGAGGGTTCTGTTCTCCGTCCTCCAGGTGGTCTGGGCCGGGCCTGGCCTGTTGTCCTCCTCCAAGGCTCCAGGAAGCCGGCTCCTCTGCAGCGCCTTTGGCTGCCTCTCGGCCTCACGCGGGGAGGCCCGGGTGAGGGGGTACACAGCGGGACCGGCTGTGTTTAGGGGTGGATGTTCAGAAACAATGCCTTTCCTGCTGCGTCCTTTGCTGGGGTTCCGCCACCACAGAGGGTGCCCCCGTCAGGTGTGGATGGCACGGGAGGCAGCCCCTGGGCGGGTTCCCCGGACCCTGTGGCTCACCACGACGGTGGCTGCCATGAGAGTGGCCCTGTGGTTTTGTACGGCTGGGGAAGACATGTCGTTAGACCATCTTCTGCAAGGAAACTTGGGGCAGGAGGCAGCCTGCTGCAGTGTCTATAAATAAAATACATTCATTTTCTCACTAAAATGTTGTGTTTTTAAAAATGGAATATTGAAAACCAAAAACTTCCCGGCCCAAATTGGGGTGAGAGTAAGCACAGGTTCCATTATCCCAGGATGGGAACTGAACACTATGCTAAGCCTCCCCTGTGGCAGGATTTCTGCCATGCTGGAGCTGTGGTTTTGCACTTGTGCTTCCCATCCCAGCCTTCAGCTCTGTGCAGATCCTGCCACAACCTGGGGATCGAGGATGACTGAGGTAATGCCCTGAAGCAGCTCCAAGTCTGCTGGGCAGGAAGGGTTTACAGGGAAGTAGTGAGTGCTAGCCTGGGGAGAGAATTCCAGACAAAGAGAAGCAAAGCATGTGCAAAGGCCCTGAGGCATGAATCTGGGGGCCCTCTTGGGGGACTGCATCCAGTGCAGGGTTGAGGGATGGAGGGGTCCCCAGCAGGTGAGAGGCTGGAAACAAGGACAAAGCAAGAACATGGAGCTCTTCCTACCCAGAGCAGAGGAGTTGGGCTTTTTGCAGAAGGGAGTGGGGAGCCATTAAAGGGTTTTTATAGGAGTGACTCACCTGGATCCCTGCTTTAGGAAGATCAGCCTGAAGGAGTGGGAGGATGGGGTGAGAGAGGAGGTGCCTGGGGGCAAGGAGAGCAGGTCCAGCCAGAGCTGATGGGGGCAGGGGTGGGACAAGGTCTTCACCATCTCCAGCATTGGCAAAATTTGGGAAAACATGTTTTCAGCCCAACTTAGAGTTGTCTTCACCCCCCACTCCGTTCTTTTTCCTTAGAACACCAATTGATTTTTAAAGTGTGTTATCCTTTATTTACTTCTGAGACCGAGAAAACACAGAGAGAGTGACTTCTTCGGTTGCAAATTGTTGGTGATGGAGCCAGGATTAAGCACTGGGGCTTGCCGGCCTCTGCGGATCGTCTGATATTTGTGTGTACAAGGCCCGTTCGCTCTCCCGCTCTGCCGGTAAACAGAGCTGATAACATGCAGAGGATGACAGCGGAGAGCACGTTTCCACCCTAAAAAGGCAAGAAGACCGGGAAGGCTCATTAGGAGAAAATATTGAGCGGGCAGTTTTCGAGTTTCACCTGCCATGTGAGGGGAAGAAAGTACATTTTCACCAAAGCCATTATGTAACTTGTTCTGAAATCAAGGGGAGTGGCAGAGCAGAGCGTGGGGGCAAGAAG